ATGTTCATTCTTTAGGCTGTCTCTTATACACATCTAGATGTGTATAAGAGACAGTATATATACAGACACACAGGCCAATACGCTCATATAAATATGTTGGTTCCTGCAATTTACAATGATATAATACATTTTTTTGCAGTTGTTTCCTGACTCTTCAACGTCTGTATTATGCTGTTGCAGTTCCTGTCGCCATATCTTTACTTTTCAATGTGATTGTTTTTATTATGGTGCTTAACAATTTAAGCCAGCTTAAGAAAAATACAAGCAAGGTTTCATCAAAAGCAAAGAAAAACAGAACAAAAGGAATGCAAATGTTACACAATGTAGTCAGCATTACAACTGTTTTGGGATTGACATGGCTTATTGGCTTCTTTGCTATCGGTGATGCATCAGAAATTATGCTGTGGCTATTTTGTATTCTTAATTCTTTCCAAGGGTTTATCATCTTTATAATGTATTGTGTTAGAAATAAGGAAGTAAGAACTCATTGGAGGGAAATGATTCACAACGCACCTATTAATTCAAAACGTATTAGATATTACTTGTCTGGTAAAAACCAAGCAAATTCCGAACTTGTAAGGACCCCATCCACTAAGCGAAGATCATTATCCAACTCACATTCCTTTTCCAGCAAACATAGTCGCAGTGATAGTAGTGAAGTTAAGCTCGGAAGGCACTCGTACACGTCGGAAAACGTCATTTTAAGAGGCTAATAATATTTACCCGTTAGTATTTGAATAAATGCCAACATTATTTACTTTGAATATGCAAAAACAAAATAAAAGACAGACACATTATGCCATAGGGGACAATTCAAACGTTAGGTGGCCTGGTAACAACTTGTGAGCGGAGCATGAATGCCATCGGTTGGGCTTAGGGGTTCAATGCCCTTAATAAATTAACATTCTTAAAGTTTTTTACACATTTTACGGTGTAACGACCAAAATTAATAAACACAGGATAAACGACAGTTAACTGGTAATCTGTACAGTATCTCACCTAAAGTCAGCCTAAAATTTTGTCAAAATCATATATTCAAATATGTTTGTTTTGATAACTGTTTTAGCAGTCATTTGCTAAGTGTTATGCTCATACTGATGTGTGTGTATTACATTTAGCAGTGCGTTCATATACTAATTATGTTCCTGCAGTATGTGCTAACACACAGCTAACGAGACGTCACGCGTTCGGATACGATGAATAACTATTTTATTGTGTTCGAAGAACAATGTAATGTTATTTTGCTATACATTCGTCAAAGAAATAAACATTTCCTTAAGCATTTAAAAGAATACACTAGGCCTTATTCACTTTTTGGTCGGTGCAGACAGGTCAAATTATGTGATGATTTTATATATTGGGTAGGATACTTTCTAGTCCTACGACTTGGTGGCCTTTTGCTTAGTCCAAAATCTGATTTCGTTCGTTGAGTCTTTAAAATAAGTTTAGAATAATCCTATTAAATGTTCATTCTTTAGGTTATTATTATTATTATTATTGTTATTATTGTTATTATTATTATTATTATTATTATTATTATTATTATTATTATTATTATTATTATTATTTAATAATAATTATATTCCAAGGATAGTCTGACCAGATTAATAATACCAAAATGATATATTTAATTTATTATTATTATTATAATTTGATAATACTCCTCTTATGCACTTTCCCATTTTTTATTTTATGCTTCAGAATGTTTTCCATTTTTTTCAAAATTTCAATCAACGTCATGTGAAGCGTGACTGTTTGTGTCTACCTAGGCCTAGTTTATGGAGGGGACTATGTAGGACTTAACTCAGCCTGTAGTTAGGCCTATAGTTTATCCTCTTTTTCTCTGCCTTTGGTATCTATTACTGGTACTACACTTTATAGAAGGGGTACAAGCTGTTGTTGTAGATATTATACTAACATTTAATAACATACAAGACGGTCACAGTTAGTTATACAAGTACATCCTATAAATCCGTAAGATTTCATAGGCCTACCGTAGGTAAACATAATATAGAAAGAGCAATAATAGTAAAACTCAAGCGTCACGACATTGCGAAGTGCCTGCTCTTGTTCCTCCTATCGAACTCGAGTCGAGTCAATCTGAGATGGCCCGAGTTTCATGCAAATGTTTCGTACGGAAAAAACCGCAAACGGAAAATCTCCAAAAGAAGAAGAAAAAAAAGATCCTGATGTGTGCGTGGTCTTTGTGTGGATCTTGTCCGAAAGGTGCGACACTGCAAGGCGTTGAAAAAAAAATCGTAATCAAAGGTAGGCCAAAACACAAGTATTTGGCAAAGTTGTTACCTTGTTTTATTAATATTTTGATGTTTTTAATTGTCCATTATTGCAAAGGTAGAACAATTGGTAAATGAATATTTTTTTAATTCATCAACAGTACATTATACATAGAGTACGGTACATTACAAAAACATTTTTGAAATTATACTAAAAAGAAAACTAGAAACTAGTAAACAAAAAAAAAAAAAAGAATTCTACCAGATGTTCCAATCTGCCCTTATAAGAAATAATCAATAATTTTTAATTTTTTTAATGTGTAATTATATTTTTTTCTTAAACACCTCAAACGACACCGATCATATTTACTACGTTAGATTTTTTTTTTATAAATCATTACTTAGATAATGAGTAGTGGTTCTAAAAAAGCCCATTTCATATTAAAAATATCAAATTTTGACTGTTGTTTAGCGATGTAACATTCTGTTTTAAAGTTGATACAATCTCATTTATGATTTGTCTCAACGAAGGCTTTTACAACTAACAGTATAGAATTAATTCCCAACACAGTGGCTGTTTATGATCGTGGATACCAAAGATAATTATTTCATTAGTGAGGTTTAAATTAAAACCTGTGGTATCCACAATCCACATATGCAAGGATGACCAGATTTCTTTCACCAATGGACAGTTACAAAATAAAAGTATAATAGTTTCATTTTTTCCATCCCCAAATGAACATAAGGAGTGATCTTTTAAACATATTTTAAAAAGATCATTCGTTGTAATAATTCTGTTTAGTATTTTATATTATAAATATTTAAATTTCGTGTCCATAGTACAATTATGTAGGGATACATATATTTTACTTTAGTCCTTACTGTATATTACATTAAGTTCATTTTCCCATTTACGATGTGATTTTCACGTGTTATATTTTAATGTTAAGAATATCGTATAATCTGCGACAACCTTTTTTGTCTTCTAAGAGAGTTTTCATATGAAATGGAATGCAAGGTAGACATGGCTTAGTACACCCATTGTTAAGTAAAATTCCAAATTTTGTTACAATATGTTGCTTTAACACAAATAAACGTAAAATATTTACTTAAATCTTATAAGTGTCATTAATTTATTTTTCGTTCATGAATGTACCCTTGGAATTGAACAAATCACTGATTAATTTGATACCAGCATTCTTCCATAGAGAATAATTAAGCATTTTCCCCCTAATTTAATTTCATCATTACGCAAAATATACATTCTTAACAATTCATCTGCGGGATTTGAATGAAGATGATTTAAAAAAGATCCCTATGCATCTATTACCTCTTGTTAAAAACATTTTTTATATTATTTCTTATTTTTGATAGATGTGCCTGATCTGTTTCTAGAACATTTACATTTGATATTTCAGTTTTGCCTTGGAATAAACTAAGTACTGGATTATCATCAGAACTCTGTCCTATTTTACGAAGCCATGTCATTTTAATGACATGCAGAACAGATTGAGATCAACCATTCTTAAACCGCCGTGTGCGTAGACAATTAGAGTCTGCTAATGTTGTCTGGTTTCTTTTGCCAGATAAAATTATAGAACAACTAGTTGATTTTAATAATAAAGTCTCAGAGGGGTTTGGAATTGATAATATCATATGTATTAATTTGAGTAATAACGATTTAATAACCGTTAATTTCCCCATGTCTGTCAGTTTTCTTTTGGACAACTTATTTACGCTCAATAGACGCTCAATAGTTTCAAAAACGTTTTCGTAATTTACATTAAGCATGCGAGCGGCATTTAAAGAGAAATCAATACCTAGAATTGAAAACATACCTTTCCCTATCCAGTTAAGTTTTTGTCTAGTTTTTATTGTAATTTCGCAATGTTTTTTACTACCTATCCAAACTATATTTGTTTTTTCCTCATTTATTTTTAAGCCCGAAATTTGTTCGAACAAGTGTAATGTATCTAAGGCTGCATGCAGTGACGTTTCCGAACCATCTAGCACTAGTGTGGTATCATCTGCATATTGCGATATCTTATATTCTACCTCATTCAATTTAATTCCACTAATCTTCTTATTATTTTTGATTAAATTATTTAGGAGTTCAGAACATAACCAAAATATATACGGCGAGATGGGGGTGGGTCACCCTGCCTACATCAACGTTTAATTTCAAATCGCTTAGACATGCTACCATTAATAGAAGAAAGCATTTCAGAATAGAATGTTTTAAATGAATATCTGTAGGCAATGCCTCATATCGTAAACGAAACTAGGTTTATGAAGTCTAATCACTGATAAAAGTGTTTCGTACGCAGGGGGAGAGGGGTGGGGGGGGGGTTCGGGTTCATAATGAAACTCCATGGTACATGCAAGGAAGCCCCGGTGTGGTCACTTCGTACCATACTGCGAACTGTATGTAGGAATACTGTTTAGCTTGGGGTCGGAATCGGATTATTGTTTTTAAGTTTATTGTTTTTGAATATCTACACTTACTATCGCCTGGCCTAGGTATAATACGCCAGCTAGGCTACAGGCCTATTTTGGCCTGTCTAATTTGATTGAGTTAACAAGTTTAGCTGTTTTTATCTTTTGGTTTTTGTGAATAAAATAAAATTGTAGATCTTGAGTTGCTGAGCCTAAAGGACTCGGGACAAATACCCCAACCTATTAAGTAGTATTCTGGTTTCCAGCTGTTGCATTCAATGTACCCATTTAAATTATCTTGATACTGTAAAAAAAATAAATAAATAAAAAAAATATATATATATGTGTTGTCCGAAAGCTCTGGTTCTATTTCTGGCTGTTTACTTACGTTTACTTTTTAGCTGTTGCTTATTATTTTTGTATCTCTACTGAGATCCAGCCATTGTTTCCCACAGCATTGTTGTTTTCCAGTATTTTACCTTTTAATCTATATATATATATATATATATATATAAATGTATATATATATAAATGTATATATGATGTACAGTATACTGAATAAATATACCGGTACTAAAGTTAAGAAAAAAGTTTGAATAAAATACCATGTTAATTGGACATAAATAGTACTGTAGATATACTGTCATTGATATTTATTACTGTTGTACTAATGAGCAGTGGATTATGAATTGCTGATAAAGAAATGTAAAAATAATGGGTCATGCCTCAGACTGGTAGAGAAATAATAATGAGGTGGAATTATGTAATCGGCTTCCGGCTTACACAGCTACTCTGATTTATATAGTGTAATATCAGGTTCGTCCAGATTATTGAAAGTAAATAAATAGACTGCTGCTGGTTCAGATTCAGAAGTGTAAAAAAAATGTTCAAGGATGAATATCGATGGGTAAATTTGGCTAGGCCTATAAAACACACACGCTACAGCACCTCCGTTTGTCACCTCGACGCAGGGTTCCCGGAACGCCGCCCTCAGCGGCATGTGCGAAGCACAACTATGAGTCAGAAGTGGAACGTGAAATTTTGATATGGTTTTGTAGTCAGATTTGCGAGAAAAATTCAGCTACCCGTATTTCTCGACTGAGGCGTCAGTGGTAGCTGTAATTTGTATGGCAAGGAGATGGTGCTACCCTTAATTCGTGTTAAGGGAATTTACGTCCACAAACCTTGTCACACTCACAATATAGTTAGCATGCATACGTCATAAGCTAGATTTCGTCACCTTTTCCTGGTAAGGCAAACTTTCCCGGCGTGCTTTTTTCATGGATAAACAAATACCGCTGCTTTGCACATGGAAGCCTTGTCTAGCTAGGGCTACAAGATTAGCATTGTTAGTATTATATAATACTTAAACAAGGTAGGTCTGCAACTTACGGAGCCCCTAAAGGGACATGGTTAAATAATATATCGTTCCCTCGAAATATTATTTCGTTCCCTCGAAATATTATTTCGTTCCCTCGAAATATTATTTCGTTCCCTCGAAATATTATAGCGTTCCCTCGAAATAATATTTCGTTCCCTCGAAATATTATTTCGTTCCCTCGAAATATTATTTCGTTCGAACGAAATAGTATTTCCAGGGAACGAAATTATTTTGAGGGCGCCCTTATAACTTTATGACAACCGTATCACCACTCACTCAGATGCCTGCTTTTTTCCTGTCATAGTTAAAGGGATATGAAAATGGATGTAGATGAAAGGAATTTATGCTGTAGGGACTTTTTAGCGTTAACTTGCAAAATAAGGTGATTTTAGGAGATTTTTAAATAATTGCAAGTGAATTTCCATATGCCTCTCCTTGTGTTTCAGCTGGAGGACTAAAATAAAAGTTACAATAACGCACCATCTTTCATGTCCTGTGTGCATTTATGGTCCATGTGCATGTTAAAGAGCAGTACACTGTTTGAAAAAAGAGTAGGGGATTGTCTACCGGTATACCGCCCAACCACCACCAGAAGGACCCCACAGGAAATAAGTCTTCT